CGCCCCCCCCAGCGCCTTAAAGCGAAGCGTTGCCTTAAAAACATAGTTTTCCGCGTGACCTATAGCACCGCTGATTTGTTTGTCAGAAACCAACTGAATCTAATGAATGGGTATTATCTTTGTTTTCAGGACGGTCAAATTGATTATGCCGAATTTGTAGCCATGATGCAAGGCAACACCAACGGTGGCAATATTGGACTTGGGCGTCCAACAATGGAAACCAGTCTGAATGTGACCTTGAGAGATGCAGCTCAAGTACATTAATGCACAGATTTTGTTCTCTTCTCATTGCCATTATGTCCACGGCCCAAATTGGGCTGCGGGCATGTACTCCCAAAGTACGAGAAGAGAACTAGTCGATTCTTTCGGCGGCATTTATCGAAAATAAGCTGGGCTAGCTAGCAGTACAGTCATTGTGAGAGACAGCGTGGTGGGTTACATATAGTAAGTAGTTGTGTCCTGGTTCATATGACTGCAAGACTGGCTGCTATCCAGCAGGTGGAAGTAAGAGGGCGTGCGTCAAGTTCGTTTGTTCTTTGTGTGATCAGTTGTGTTCTTTGTGTCTAATGAAAAACTTGTCTTCATGAAATGTCATATTCCCCAAGTTTGATCTTCTTGCTGTTATACTCATTCTCAAAAATATGAATCTATCTGCACAGACCATAATCAAGCAGCCTGAGGCCTTGTACAATCTAAGGTGCTTAGAAGAGGTGCTTGAAGAAATAAACCAGGCTTTCATTAAGCATCGGTGCTTATTTGTGCAGGGCATATGCTTGATTAGCGTCTTTCCTGTAGAATTAGGCACCGGTGCTTCAAAAAAACCTGGTTTATTTTTCTAAGCACCTGACAAAGCGTCTAGCATTGAACAAGCCTCAGAAGCTCTGGCTGTCGTTGGTAAGCCACAAAGGGCTGGCACAGCACACCAGTTCATGATTTTGCATAGACCAATTTGTTTAGTAGAGGACAGATTTACAGGATGAGTATGGCTATTCTAAGATGTGTAAGTATATTTGTCTTCACTTTCTATGTAAAGATCTGATGAAACCTGAAGGAGTCATGCCATGGCCCAGGTCAGGCGGCCTCCGACGCCCGGGTCTCCTGCGCGGCAGCTATCTCCTACAGACGAGCCGGGCAACACTGTAAGTATGGCACGAGAAAGAAGTGTAGTTTCGCATAGCAGCAAGCGGCAATGTTTTTACCTTGACGTCTCCGTCTCTGGACAGGACGCACGTCGAGGTGACCGCGCTGCCGTGGCCCAGCAGCCACCCGACCTCGCACACCACGTCGCCGTCCTCGCCGTCGCCGCTCACCTTGAGCGAGCTCCACAGCCGCTTCGGCAGCAGCGTCACCACGCCGGCACCGTCCCTCGCCGTCCTCCGCGGTTCGTGGTCCGGCTCCAGCCCCGCGAACTTGCCCTGCACGTCAGACATGTCAGGCACGGGCATTTTCGATGTCGACGGACTGTGCGGCACGTGCTGCAGGAGGATGCTCACCGTCACGGGGTCCAGCGCGCCGGAGGACCTGGCGGTGGTCTCCCACTGTCCCGCCACCTCCGACGCGGCGAGCCTCTCCCCGGCGGCGAAGGCGGATTCGCGGAGCGCGCACCCGCCGAGCTGGTCGCCGTTGCGGTACGGGCCGTACCACTGCTCGGAGAACACCTTGACGCCGCGCAGCCGTGCCGCGTCCTTGGCCAGCGCCACCGTCTGCACCAGCCTGACCCGCACCTCCGCGTTGTCCGGGTGGCAGATGCAGTGCTCCACCTCGAGCACGGTCGCCGGGCCCTTGGGCCACGTGGCCACGTAGGAGCCCCCGGCGGCGCCGTAGGCGAAGGCGGTGGCGGAGGAGACGTGGCGCTGGTGGGAGGTGTGTACGGTGGCGGCGTCGGCCTCGCAGCCGACGGTGGGGAGGAGGCGGACGAGGCGGTAGTGGAGCGCGCCCGGCGCGGCGGGGTCGGCCAGGGTGGGGCACTGCGTCTGCCAGTCGAAGACCTGGACCCCCCACTCGCGGTACGCGTCCGGGACCACGTTCGCCGGCAGCTCCACCGGGTCGCCGGCCACCGTGAAGTCCGCGCCGAAGCCGTCCCACTCGCCGGACACCCGCGCCGCGAACTCCGCCCACTTATCTGCGCACGCACGGACCAAGTTTCAGTGTCCAGTTCAGTCATGGGCTCATGTCATTGGGTGATTGTCAGTCAAAAAGACATGAGCTAGTTCATGGTGGCTGGTGACTGACCTGGCTGCGCGCCGGCGTCCGGGTCGTTGGTGGCTGCGGTGGTTGGGGTCGCGGGCGACACGGCGCGCGGCGCCGATCTGGCGGACGCCGACGACTTGGTGGTGCTGGTCCGTGGCCGAAGCAGCAGAGGAGACGGCGGGAGAAGCGCGCGCGGGTGGTTGGCGTTGGCGCTGGGGACGGGCGCCAGGCGTTGCGTCGACAGGGGATGCATCCGTTCCTTTTTTCACTCGCCCTCGGCGTTATTTTTTCGGTGGATTGGTCTTTTCCCCATGACCGGGCGATCCTGTTGCTCAAGGCCGATCCACGGCAAAGTAGATAAAAAACGTGTGGGCGTCGTTGGGATCAGGGAGTTCGTGGCCACGCCAGCCTGGGCCGTGAGCCGCTCGTTCACATGTTGCGTCCCCGGACGGGCTTTGGCGACAACTATAACATCATCCACGGCTCAGTATGAAAACGATCCAAGATTCTCCGCATCTCCAGTAGGAGATCAAATGCGAACCAACCTGTGGTTGAATGGTTAGAGGGACTGTGGTATCCCAGCCCACCAGGATTCAAATCCTGATGCTCGCATTTATTCCTGGATTTATTTCAGAATTTCCGGCGATGTGCATTCAGTGGGAGGAGACGTTCCCGTCGATGACGAGGCGCCTATGGTGACTTCGTAAATCTCAAGATGATATGCCGGCTCAGTCTTTCGGATGCGTTCATAGGGGTAGGGTGTGCGTATGTGCGTTTATAGGGGTGAGTGTATGCGCGTGTATATGAGCGCTTGTGTCTGTACCGATGTTCAAAAAAAAGTAGGAGATCAAATTTTTGCTACCCAAATCCATTTTAGGTGGAGGAGAGAAATTTTAGTTGCCTACAATTTACTGCATACCCGTATTTTTATGATCAAAGAAATAAAGTTGTACTAAATCAACGACACTTATTTTAAGATGGACTAAGTACTTCATTGCATAATTAAACATCCAACTACACACTATATACATAATAAAACATGTATAAACCAGAGGATACCTGAATTGGTTGATGCAAATTTTGGTTGATAATATGAGAACCAAAGTTAAAAATACATATTTGGTTATGTATAGTTGTACTTATATTTATCGATACAAGTAGAAGAATTAAATGATTTACTTTCCATATATGATTGAATTGAGGCGGGTCTTATCCCATTCACAATTGTATGATGAGGTAGCGTATGCAAGTTGAGATAAATAAGTTAGTGGAGATGACTCTTTTAGGTATATAAAATTAAACACTACCACAGTCACAATTAAACATCCCTACCACTACATTGAGACCAAAACTAGCTACACTATGACTAAAACTAGGTGTCGTAATGGCTGGCCTCGTCATTGTCAAACATCTCATCATCCTCGTCAAGCTCGTCGAACATCTTCTCATGCTCGGCCTTGAGGCAAGCAAACTCGTGGCTCTTGCGCTCGCTCTGCTCCTTGGCACGATCGACCGTGACTTGCGCCTCGGCCAAGCAATGGTCCTTCTCCTCAGCTTAGGGGACGACCTTAACAGGAGGCGTGATAGCGGCCGTGGAGGTGACATCAACAGGGAACTTGAGCTTCTCATGGATCCCAAAGAAAGTGGAGTGCCATGGCGATGTAGCGCATGTCGCCTCCTTCACAATGGCGAACGCGCCAAGCCACGCAGATGCATTCGTGTCAGGGTTATGCATCTCAGTCGCCCACTTGCCCCATGGCCGAAGCCTCATGTCCTGGTACTTCGGTGGTGATGGCTTATGACGTGTTGGCCGGTGGGATGCACGGGACACTCTGGCGAGGCGAGGAGTGTTGGTGTCAAAACCGGCGGATCTCGGGTAGGGGGTCCCAAACTGTGCGTCTAAGGCTAATGGTAACAGGAGGCGGGGCACACGATATTTACCCAGCTTCGGGCCCTCTCTATGGAGATAATACCCTACTTCCTGCTTGATTGATCTTGATGATATGGGTATTACAAGAGTTGATCTACCACGAGATCGTAGAGGCTAACCCTAGAAGCTAGCCTATGATTATGATTGTTGTCCTTGTCCTACGGACTAAACTCTCCAGTTTATATAGACACCGGAGGGGGCTAGTGTTTCACAGAGTCGGTTACAAAGAAGGGAATCTACATATCCGAATCACCAAGCTTGCCTTCGACGCAAAGGAGAGTCCCACCTGATGAAGCTATGTACCTAGGGTAGGGTCATGGACCCGTCCAAACTACCCTACCCAAGGACATCTCTAGAAGAAACCACCTGTCAATCGACTCAGAAGTGCTCCACTCGACGGACTCAAAGACACTCGACCATGAAGCCAACCACTCGACCATGAAGCCCACCACTCGACGGCCAGGAGGTCTAAAGTCATTCTGCATGTAATGGTCTATCATTAAGTAGCATTTTTGGTCTTCATAGCACTTTATGTGAGCGTTATGAGTAACCCCCAGTCTTAATGTACTTTAAACCCTACATAACTGAGGGCCGGAGGGGTCTGGCAGACTCTATATAAGCCACCCCCTCCTCAGTGTAAAGGGTTCGCACCCCTGTAACTCATACACATATAATCCAGTCGACCGCCTTCGGGCTCCGAGACGTAGGGCTGTTACTTCCTCCGAGAAGGGCCTGAACTCGTAAATCTCTTGCGTATACAACTACTCCATAGCTAGGATCTTGCCTCTCCATTAGTACCCCCCCTACACTACTGTCAGACTTAGAACCACGACAGTTGGCGCCCACCGTGGGGCAGGTGTCTTAGTGACTTATTGGAGAAGTTGCGATTTTTTCCGATCTCCTTCATCATGGTTTCAGGCGGAGTTTTGGCCGAGGGCCGCGAGATCCGTCTCGGCGCGCTTACGTTCATCGCCGACGACTCTGCTTGGCTTCAGGAGGCTCCGCTCGACATCGACGCGCTCCCAGTCTGCGGAGCAACGCACTTTCGCGTGTGCGTCCGTGGCTTCCTCCTGCGGCAACCGTCGACCCAGTATCGGTCGGTCTTTGTGTCATCCTCCCCCCTGTTTCCCGCCGGCGCAAGCGCTCCGGTCGGTCGAGGCTTCAGCGGTGGGTGAGGCATGCGGTGGCCCACCAGTCAGCCATCCCCCAAGCCGCGGCAATCGAGCCCGACGAATCTCTCTACGGCCTGTTCGACGTGTCGACTGGCTCTGCAGAGACTGCATCCGAGAGCGATAACAGTGATCTAGCGGTGGAAGTTCTGATGGTCGATGGACCGTGCGGTCCTCCCGGTTTTCTCGGCGCCGAAGGAGGCGACGGTGGAGGCGATCCGTCGCATGCCCATGAAGAGTACCTCCCCGAGCCCCTCAATTTGCTGCAGAGGGAAGAACTTCGCCGCCGGAACATGGATGCACTTCACACTCCTATCGTTGGAGAAACCCCTGAGGCTCGTGCCTTGAAGGACGCGCGCTTGGCCAACTTGGCTGAGCGCACTCGACTGGAGAACCTTTAGCGAGCACTCGACGAGCATGCACGGCAACGGGTTCCAGACTCCAGTCGACGTCAGCTCTTTCCTCCACCGACTCAGGTATATCGAACTCTGATTCAGAATTTAGCAGCTGCGGCCCGAATAGCAGAGTCAATTCAGCCTTCCCAGTCAGAGGCTGGCAGAGGCTTGATGCAGATCAGAGATTTACTCCGGGCAGCAGGAGATCAAAATTCAGCTGTATCGCAGTCGCAGAACAGGATTCATAGCAGATCAGTAGCTGCAAATACAGTTCAGTCGGCTCACAGCCCCAGATCGCCCCCGAGGCGTGAGGGGCGTGGAGACCGACACGATCAGTACAAGAGCCGTGAGCAGAGTGATCACCGATTCGATCGCGATGATCGACGTCGAGTGCCCACCCCTCCCCCAAGAGGTGGATCGTACGCGCCTCGACAGCAGGATGATAGACGCCAGCACAGTGTTGGGCGAAGGATTCCAGTCGACCCCAGGGAACCAGGCTTTGATGCGAGATCCATTATCGTTCAAGGTCTGGTCGACAGGAACAGAGCCCACCGAGAGGGTAACGACAGAGATGTACCCACCAGCAGTAGAGTGCACGTCTCAGTACTAGAGTGCTTCAGCAGAGCCATCAGGGCCGCGGTGATTCCTCCCAACTTCAGGTTGGCGACTGGAGTCAGCAAGTTCACTGGTGAGTCCAAGCCTGATACTTGGCTTGAGGACTACCGAGTGGCTGTTCAGATCGGCGGCGGTAACGATGAGGTGGCCATGAAGCATTTGCCTCTTATGTTGGAGGGTTCGGCCAGAGCATGGCTGAATCAGTTAGCACCCAGCAGCATTTACACTTGGGAAGATCTTTCCAGAGTGTTTCTCAGAACGTTTGAGGGAACTTGCAAGCGACCAGCAGGGCTGACAGAGCTGCAAACCTGTGTGCAGAAGCCGAATGAGACTTTGAAAGATTACATCCAGAGATGGATCACATTGCATCACACGGTAGAAAATGTGTCTGATCACCAAGTAGTTTGTGCCTTCAAGGAAGGTGTTAAGTACAGAGAGCTGAACCTGAAATTCGGTCGAACTAGAGACATGTCTCTGAGTCGAATGATGGAAATAGCCACCAAGTATGCCAATGGTGAAGAAGAGGATCGGCTCCGGAGTGGCAAGCACAAGTCAGTCGCCCATGAAACCGGAGGAGGGAACTCCAGTCGGAAGCAGAAATGGAAAGCCAAGCCAGCTGCTCCTGGAGAAGCCTTGGCCGTGACTCAAGGAAAGTTCAAAGGGAAGCCCAAAGGGCCTTGGAACCCCAAGAAGGTGAAAGACAAAGCGGGAAATGACGTGATGGATTTGCCATGTCACATTCACACAAAGAAAGATGAAGAGGGTAATTTTATTTACCCGAAACATACCACTCGGCAGTGTCGTCTCTTGATCCAGCAATTCCAGGGGAAATAGTCCAAGGACAAGGAAAAGGAGTCGGACAGAGTTGATGACAAAGAGGATAGTGATGATGAATATCCGCTGGTCAATTCCACCCTGATGATTTTTGCTGACATTGAAAGCAAAAGTCGACTGAAAGTTATAAACCGAGAGGTGAATATGGTTGCGCCGGCAACACCCAATTATCTGAAGTGGTCTCAGACGGCCATCACATTCGATCAGTCTGATCACCCGACGCTCACTCTGTGCATTTTAAAACCGAACCGAAAAACCATACGAAAATAAACCGAACCGAACCGATTTTTTTGTTTTTATGGTTTCTGGT